CACCATAGAACTACCCCTGAAACGCACTATTTTAGCTATGTCCATCAGACTTCAGCGATGTACATGTATTACCCGGCTATGTAAGAAGTAGCACTTTTCAACACGAGCCCGAAGGGTGGAATTATCAGAGACTGTGTGCAAGGCAATTACCAAACTTTTAAATCGTACTTACCCGTCGATTCCTCTCTGTGTGTATGTGTGTAAATAACACGGCCAGGTGAAGCTCACACGTAATGAGTGCGGTACAGCCTCCCCCTCTCATAGTTATATACGCATAGACAAAGTCATTCTTTGGAGGAGATCAATATCTGGCACAAGCTTGTGATTGGCCGAAAATTGCTCGAACGTGAATAGGGTCACACGAGCAAATGCTGGACGCCCATAAGCAAGCTGATAACGTTGCTTGAGTACAAAATACTAGGTTAACGCATACATTGACGACATTATAATCGATCTCAAGTGCTGTTGTATAGTGTTTTGCATCATGATTCAGTTCTCCGAACTGAATCGCTTACACCAAAGGGCAAACTTCAGAGCAAGCTCCACTATATAAATGGAGTTAAAAATGCAAGTGGTAGTAAACTTCCTTGTCGGTTTTCATTACCGTAAGTTTACACCAAGAACGCAGATATTAGTTGCCGACCTAGTCAGCGATCCATCAGTTTTGCATACCGATGATAAGATAGTGGTAAGTTAAATTTAAATAACGTTTTAAATGCAAAGTACATTTCGGTGATGAGTCATGAATGAAACGGGCATTCTTTTCTTTGAAAGTTAAGTGCCTTCTTACGTTGTACGCATCAGATAGTGATCAATTAGCATCAGAAAGCACTTCTTCTTTAAACAGAGGCTAGCGCTTAGCCTCTCTCTGCTGATCAAATTGGTGAGCTGTAAATTTAAAAACTGTAGAGAATATCTATTTGGAGGCTTATTAATTACAGTTCAACTTACGAGTTGCGCTTAGTTTTTATGCTAAGAGAATCCATGACCCTACAATGACCTTTATATCGTAATTATGGTGTATTTGCTGCACTTACCGCATAGAAAACTGACGTTGTATCGAGCTATCCTCGCTGCGCTCATCAAGTCTAAATGCATGAAGGTTACGGCTATTCGCAATCTAACAAAATCATAAGCTAAGAGTGGGATCGTAAAGTGCTCCTCCGATTTGTTTGATTAACTAAGTATAACTTTGAGTAAGTTATCGGATATAGCGTCCGTCATCTTTTAAACGGCTTTTAAGCAACGTCCAGTTATAGCCAGAATGAAAAATACAATCTGGGAATCACTCGATCACCGCTGAACTCTTGTTCCGTCACCTTAGGTATTACTCAAATTAAAAAAGGGGGTAGAAAATTCTGGAGCACGCCCTTTGGTGTAAGCGATTCAGTTCGGAGAACTGAATCATGATGCAAAACACTATACAACAGCACTTGAGATCGATTATAATGTCGTCAATGTATGCGTTAACCTAGTATTTTGTACTCAAGCAACGTTATCAGCTTGCTTATGGGCGTCCAGCATTTGCTCGTGTGACCCTATTCACGTTCGAGCAATTTTCGGCCAATCACAAGCTTGTGCCAGATATTGATCTCCTCCAAAGAATGACTTTGTCTATGCGTATATAACTATGAGAGGGGGAGGCTGTACCGCACTCATTACGTGTGAGCTTGACCTGGCCGTGTTATTTACACACATACACACAGAGAGGAATCGACGGGTAAGTACGATTTAAAAGTTTGGTAATTGCCTTGCACACAGTCTCTGATAATTCCACCCTTCGGGCTCGTGTTGAAAAGTGCTACTTCTTACATAGCCGGGTAATACATGTACATCGCTGAAGTCTGATGGACATAGCTAAAATAGTGCGTTTCAGGGGGTAGTTCTATGGTGTTCGATGTGGGGAAACTTGTGGTAGCGGAAGAGGCCGCTGCCCTGAGATATCTCACTTGGCATTCAGCAAACTACTGAGGAGGCCCGAGGTGGCGTACCGAAACGCGTCTGGCAAGCGTTCGTAAGTAAGATCCTTTCTATTCTGTGTTTTTAGTTTTCTACAGCTTGCAACAATATGGCATACGGGACACAATAACTCGCGAGTATCAAACACAATATCCAACGTATTGTACCAATCAAAGTGTAACACCACAAAAGAGAGCCTTGTATTTGTAAGATAGGAGATCAATCTCTGGAGCCCGCCCTTTGATTTATGTAATTGAATTATAGAACTGTGTTCAGTCGCAAAACACCACACATCAGCAGCAGTGATTGAAGAAGGAATGTGATGCTGTCAATGTCTAAATTAACCCAGAATTATGCTCATGCGACGCGATCAGCCTTTACTTATGAGCGTCCAGTGTTCGCTTACATGATAATATTCACCTTTGGTCAATTTAAGCCAATGATATTCGCGCGTCACAATAGTGAACTAGCCAAAGATTGACTTGAATATCCCTAACTACCGAGAAAGGAGGACAGACTGGATCGTACTTAGTACGTGTAAGGTACACGCAGCCACGCTATTTACAGCAGACACACACAGATAATTACGATTTAAATGGTTCGGTATTCACCTTGCGCACAGTCAAAATAGCTTCACCATTCAGGCTCAAAACAATACGCCTACTGTAACGGGGAACCCTTTGTTTGGGTGCCACAAAACTTCACGTACACTAGTACATGCAGAGGAAGCTAATCTACTCAAATAGCAAGTTTGAGTGAAATGTAAAAAGAGAACTGTACTAAATATAGTCAAGCTATCAACATAACTTCAGTCTTTATTTAACTATGTAAATTTGCATTGTCGTATAACGACAACCTGCTCACCACTCAGTAAGCGCGTCTGGCATCGATTGGTGGTAACCTTGGTTGATATGTCTTTTACCAACCAATCTTCGAGCAGCACATGAATGTTATCCTAAGGTGATAGTATCCCTTCAAAACTATCTATCTTGGGTAATATTGGCAGAAGATTGTCACGCTGGACAATCTCCCTATTGACACCGTTTGGTGTCAATATTATGTGACGGGCTACCCCGTTACACCTACGGGACACGATAACCCTCAAGCGTCAAACACAATTTTAACGGTTGTACTAACCGATGTGTAATACTTACGTGATCGTTGTGTTCGTACAAATACATGGTACGACAACAATACTTGCCGTGGTGAATTTTTTACTGATATGCGCCAACATCGTATACTTGCCAGTCGCTGTCGTACTCTGTGGTGACTAGTAGCGGTCGGCTGCCGTGAATCATTTTTATTATAGTCGCGCTATACCAAGTGAGTTGGTGCAGATATTCATGGAGATGCATCGCACGTCATGGTGCACGTTGTTGTTGTCTGTATTCTGGTAGCATGTAAATGAGCACTGTTGGCCTCCGGCCTTCATTCTATTTATGTGCATTCGGACGCTTTATCATTTCTTCTCCACGTACAGGATCGTGCTGTGTCCTGTCTGACCTACTTCCTCGTCACGATACTTCTCGTTGTGGCTCTGGGTAGCTGGCCTTGTTAACCATTCGCAAATGGAATACTCCTTTGCACCTACTCCTCACAACACTTGTACTAGCGGTTCATTGCATCCGGCGAGTTAATCGTGATGACGGTACGATGTCGGCCGCCCTGGTTGTAACGAGGCCCTATAAAGAAATTGGATGGTTCACTTCCACACACGTAGTCGGCGAAAACGACTGTGTAGATGACAGATGTATACTACCGGTGTAGCGGAGCTACACAGCTCCAAAAGTCAGAGGAAGACTTAACGCTCCGTGAGCAAGTTAGTTCTAAAGAACTAAACTCAATGAGTCAACAAGCGTAAACCTTATGTTCCTTGTTCCAGGGGACCAAACGATTCAGTGAATCGACAGCACTTAGTGCTGAAGAGTAACTAGCTACCTCAAGGAGGTGTTGCTAACTCTCAGTGATCAGTGATCAACGACCAAAGACGCCTCGCAAGACACGTGTCTTTAAGATCAAAAGGGGAACTGAATTTTATTTACATTTAAACCTATAGGATATCTTAATCCTACTATTACCTAATCTAGACACTTATGTCCTAAGTTAGTACAACTAAGATCTCTTCTATTTAGTGGCTTGCACCAGTCAGCCCCCGTAAACCGACTAGATATCCTATATCTCTTTCAGTGGGATATCCGTGTGTCTAAGACACAGGGTACCAGATATCCAACTACGTGTAACCCCCTTCACATCGGGGCATGCCTTGCTCTTCTTCGCTCTACTCTTACCAATTTGAAATAATTCCAACAACTTCAAAGCATTGAACTCTTCCAGGCTCCACAGTGTGCACTGCACCGCTTTCTACAACAGCATAATCCAGAGTATCCAGCAAACATACGCCACATCGATACGCAGGTCATCCTGTGGGTTACCCAATAGCACTGGATCTTCCACAACGCAATCAATCGATCGAGCGGGACCTGCTACAGTATGCGAGACCTGGTCGAGCAGTCGTCATCCATGCTGACTGCTCGATATAAAAAAGGCATCGTGCAGTATTATGATCGTACGGGATGCGCACTGATCGCATATCGCAATGGATATACCCCGCGATGGGCCGTGCATGACCAATGCCACGTCGCACTCGCACAACGAAGACAGAGGGCGGGTCGGAAACCTTGTCGGCACCATTTTACCAGCGCAATACCTAGCGCGAGTAACTTCTTACCAGAAGATGAACGAAGGCCTAGAACCGGTCTCTTGCTGTCACAATGTCGATAATTATTTGCCATCCTTCTCCTTCCAATTCAGAGACGATGGAGCTATAAATACTGAACCAGGAGCGCGCAAGGTCGAAGCAGAGGCACCAGTGGGTCGGTCATCCACCCACCCACTCGCTCCCTCTCTTTCTCGACTCGCGTCTCTGTCCGTAAATCATCCTCTTCCCACATACTGCACTACACCAACTACTCTACGCTAGTCCACCACCTTACTCTCTCCACTGCACGCTACAACCGCAGCAGCCCCAGGGGTGGCCTGACCTAATACAGCAGCACCTTCTCCCTTGCAGATCCAAAGCGACGACCTCCACACGAGAGCAAACGTGTGTCCTGCTGCAACGCACGCAGCGAAGCTTGCACGGCCTTCGCTTCGTCCAGTCGTGACGACGCACGCGCGTCCAGCGTGGCGCGCACGTCCTGACAAATGAGCGCCACATCGTCCATTGGAAACGCTCTCTCGACCACGAGGATGCGGACGCGCTCCATCGGGTCGAGCCACAGGTCGCTGCGACTGCGACGACTGCAGCCCCACGCCAGCGGCGTCTCCATGTCGGACTCCGAGTCGACGCTCTCGCAGTCGCTGTCCACCGCCTCGACGTCGTTGGTAGACGGTAAGACGAGCGAGCACCGGTGGCGGATGGGACGGCCAATGAGACCCACAGGCGGCCCGCCACTCTCTGGCACGACGCTGGCATTGTACCCGACGTGGAACTCCAGGACGCGCACGACGCCCCATCGCACGTGCTTTTTCCTCGTCTCGTTCGTTTCGACTGTGGACGTGTTCATCGAAGTCGGTCGATTGAGTGATCGATCAATTGAGAGATTGAGCGAGTGACGAATTGGTTGATTCCAGTCTCGCGTCTTGTCCCGAGATGGATCGAGTGGGTGCAAGCCGTGGGAGTCGAGCGCTCCAGCAGCAGCAGGTCACAGGGCAATACAAAGTGATAATGAGGGCGCAACTGGAACGCACTTCCAAGTCAAGGGTGTCAACTACTTGACTCCGGTCAGCAGGAGACGGGCCAGTAGTGATCAGACGGGACAGATGACTGACTACACAACCACCACCGACTTGGTTGCAGAGGTCGGTGGCGTCGAGTCGGTGGCACGTTCTATCCTCGAATCGGTGGCGCGAACGGCCGCAACCCCGACGGGCTTCAATAGCTGCCAACAGTCGAGCTGCGAATACTTGAAGGCAGTGCAGCAATCGCAACTATGGAGACTCTGATGCTATGACCACTTTTGTCTTTCTCTTCCCGAGTAGAGTACGTGGACGTCTCCATGAACGCCTGCATGGACGTTTTTTTCTCGCTTGATACTTGATGCCAACAGCTGTAGTCACCGCTTTACATACCTACGTCAGCTGATTTCTTCCACCCTCTGCTCGCGGCTACGCGTGACAAGGCCCAGCTGAGTCAGTGCCACTTTGGCGTGCGTGCGACTTTTGGAGCACATGTGACTGCAGTCATTGGGATAGAGACTTCGAGCAGTAAAGTCTCGGAGCGAAGTCGAGCAACGTGTCAGCGTGCTATGTTTTCGTTTTGTGGCGGTAGCTGCTGCGCTAGCAAGCGATCCGTTCACCACTTCTTCGTCGAAACGCGTGCACTTTGGTGCGTGTCATGCCCGCAGCCTGTGGCAGCAGCCACTGACGTCCGACGGTTGAAGCGAGCTGCCGCCAGGACGATGCAGTCCCACAAGAGCCACCCGTCCAGTCTGACCTGTTGATCCTCGGCACTGGAATTCGGCAACGGTCCAACGCGCCGTTACGTCCGACGCAGTAGCGAACATCGTGGTGCCGTCTGCCGCTCGTAGCCGCTAACGATACCGCTGCAACGGTTCGATCAGAAGCGCGGGAAGTGCGTGCTGGCCGTTGCGATGACCAGAATAAAAGACTTGCAGTGACTTCCCGAAACATGGTCCTTGACCGGCGAACCTCGGAGTCGGATGACAATGAGACGGAGGTGGCGGTAGCAGAGCAGAAGGAACGAACCTGCTATCAACGATTGCTGTCTCAAGTACCATTCTGACCAGCTGCCTCAAAGCTTCGATGAAACGCCCGCGTCAACTGTCGACTGCGAAGATCTCATGAACACGCGGTACTTGTGTGCCGCAGTCCTCAACACCTGAGGCCGCAGCGTGGTGACCCACTCGATGTGGTCGCACAGTTCCAGCTTCTTCTTACATCGTGTGCTTGGTCACGCAAAGCGCCACCAACTAGCCACCGACGGCACACACTTTTGTCCGACCAGCAGACTTCACCGTCTGGGTGTGCAGACGGGACATCGATCAAGCAGCTTGTCTGAACTGACGTGAGTGCGCTTCAAGTTGCCAGGGTCTTTGACGAGTCGCTCCAACGATTGACACGTGTATGACCACTCACCTACAGGCGTGCGATGCTTGATGGAAGTCACTGGATGCAGCAACCATTACTCGCTTTCATCCTGATAATCCACGCGGATCCTATTGTTTTGCTGTCGATGCATGAGCCTTTTCGAGCATAGCGAACGTTAGATGTCTTGATACTGAACTGACCGAGTCTTGTCGTCATATCGACCGAGCTCGTTCGTACTCCAGGTCGAACGTTTGTGGAAAACAAAAGCCTTGGCGATCGAGCGACAGATCACGGCGACGACAACTGGCCATTTTGTCAATGAAATAGACACGTGCTCTAGGTCGTATCTGCAGTCGTGACCAAATCTGTGCCAGTCTCGCTTATGCCATCAAGTCTCATGTATCCACATTTCACTTGGCTCAAAATGGCAATAACGATGATGTCCTTTGAGATGAATTATCGACACAAACATCGAGAATTGGCCTGTTGCCGAATGGATTCTGAGCAGCAACTGTGCTCCATAACACAGCAGCGCTCAGTCGACTACATGTTCAAGCACCTTCACATGGACACGTTGATAGACAGGATATCTTGAGCAGTGCGTGTCCGTACAACAAGGAAACTGACTGTTGCAGCTCTCGTGGGGTAGCGTGTATTTCAGGATACAGTCCATATTGACACCTAGTCGAGTTAGACAAGAATATCCAATACGATCAGTGCTGTTAACATGGCAGAGGCACCAGTCGAATCTCTATAAAGTGACTGCTCCCTGAGATGGTGATCGGGCCAGGTGTCGCAAAGTAGGATGACCGAAGTTGAAGTGTGTTTTTTTTTCATCTTGTTCACTGTCATTAGATCGTGCCGCGTGGAAATGTGCGCTTGTAGATCCGGCAAAATAAGCCAATTCAACTCCGACAGCACAAACGAGTTTGACCAACGTCACATCACTACAAAACGCTTTGACGAGCTATTCACGTGAGTACATAGCTGAATGAGCGCAGCAATACCACCCCTTCGAGTAGAATACCATCCATCCGTCGCTTGTCACTGGTACGTAATAATGGTTGCGTGATCTGAAACAAGGATGGCTTACTTTGGTATTGAGAAGAGAAGATGGTGAAAACGTTGTCACTGACACATCCAAAAAAGGATGTAAAAGTCTATCGATGTAAATATACATCTTGCGACAAGGCTCGAGGAAGAGGCATAAGACGGCGTCTTGCAGGAGAGTGGAGGTCGCCTGTATCCAGTATAAATGAAACGTGTGGGTCGTTCCGTTCTCAGCGTTTTTTGGGCTGACTTCTCCGCAAGCAGATACTTACCGCTGTCAAAGACCAAAAATATCTAGTGATCCTGCAAAGAACCGACGCAACAAAGAGGAACTGCCCACCTACACTTGGTTCAAACAGGATAACAGTTGCAGATAAGTCAACAGTAACGTTTTGTCAGCTGAGATGCGCCGTAGCGCAAGGTCATGAGAGATCCCTGCCGCTGATTCGATGTCATACGTATGAATGGACTTTGGGAGAGCGTATCAGCGTTGCAACTCGTTCAGTACTTCAACCCTCTGTTTACAATCGAATATCCGCACAGTAGATGCACCCGGTCATTGCGTTATTGTTGGGTTTTGCGACGAGATGCGTTCGGCTTATCGATTTCACGCAAAACTCAATTTATGTTACGAGTCATGTTAGCATGGTTCTGGTTCGTTTAAAGAAAGGAATCGAGCAAGCTAGACGATTTCATGTTTCCGGGTCAATTACATTCTTTATCATGCCTTGCCATTCATCGACAGCTACAGCGCCTAACAGTTTCCCTTCGCCGTAATGATATTGACCTTTGGTGCCATAGATCAACAGCTACAGCGCCTAGCAGTTCCCCTTAGCCGTGGAATGCACCGAGTGCTCTATTTATCGAATAATCAGCACGATACTTAACACGGAAGGCTTTACCACCCGGACTGAATTCGGCAGTTGCGGCTTTGTTTTTCTAAATTTGACTTCAAAATGATCCCTCTCAGTAATTATTACCTTAGAAAGAGCAGTGGTACCATGCATCGACGTATTCTTTACGTCTACACTGATTGACGCACTAGATCTGGACCTATGATGGCAGGCTTAAAATGATTGGCGTGATCACGAAGCCTGGTTGTACAAAACCAGGAGAGCATTTTATTTATGCTAGATATTTACCTAAAATGAGAATAAAGCTCAAATATTCTTAATAATGTTTTTATCTCAATCAGAATAAAAAAGATGCATCAGGATATAAAACAATGCTTCCAGTTTAATGGACAAAGCCTTAGATTGCGGCTTAATAAAATAATAGTTCGAATCTTTCAAAGCATAATTCTTTTTTGTATTTTGTACCGTTAAACTATCCTGACGTTTTAAGTCATGTGCTACCCCATGCGCTAGTAAAGCGAATACTGTGAACCGCTCATATGGCAACGGATCGGCATTGACTCACTGATATCGAATAAAGTAGCGTGGACGACTAAGGGCATACTGCAACGTGTCTTCGATCCTTTTTGTACAAACAAGAAGAAGTAAAATGAGATAAACACACATCTATCTTGATTTTGAAGCCCACACGCACCTCGAAAAGATCATCAGAATGACTTCCTGTTTTGTGATCAGAAAACTGCATCGTTCTTAATTCTTCTACATTTGCCCGCTATGACTCACCACCACGACAAACTTTTGTAATCTAAGCCGGGATTGTTGTGTTATTATCGATAATATTTTATACTTTTGAGCGAAAACAAATTACCAGTTGGGTTGCTCCGTGTCCAAATAGATCACCCACACATACTAGGCTATTTTTGTGTCAATTAGTAGTTATTGTGAAATTAACTGAGAGCGTCTACAGCAGTCAGTATAGCTTAACTTTTCGCCCTATCAAAAAGGCTATTTAGTTATATTTACAAGAGTTCGCCACAGCAGCGAAATTAATCGGGGTTGTATCGAGTGAACTTATTTTTTCGCTATCCCGTCCACAGTTTGCAATTCTGCGACACCCGAGATACCAATTTAAACGGCTGCATGTCATTGAACCAGGAATATGACATCAATCAGATTATTGGCGAAGATTTGTTGCATATCATCGGCTGCAGTTGATAAAGAAGAACGTTGATCTAAAGTCGCGACGTGGTTCTATATGACACCAGCAACATAATACCGTTGAACCTAACTGGAGACCAAAATACAAGGCAACCAAAACTTTACTAGTCACTTTTGGCCAAAAAATACTGTTATACTGAATGCTATAAAGTTTTATGCGTATAAGATGAAGTTGAAATTATACTGGTATTTAATAAATGCAAAGAGTTGAGTTATACCCACTGCTGGAGACACCCTATGTAACGGGGTAGTGTAACGGGGTAGCCCGTTACATGATATTGACACCAAACGGTGTCGATTGGAATCTTGTCTAGCATGACAATATCCTACCGATATTATCCGAGATGGATAATATTGAAGTAATATTATCCTTTTTAGATAATATTAATGCGCTGCTCCAAGATTGGTGGATATAAGACATATCAACCATAGATTACCACAAATCGCTGCTAGACGCGCGCAGTGAATGGTGAGCAGGTTGCCGTCATACGACGACGTAGTTTAATATACTTAGATACAGATTAAACATATTGATAGCTTAACTATATCAAATACAGGTCTCTTTTTACCTTTTACTCAAACTAGCTCTTTGAGTTGATCGGCTTCCTCCGCACGTACTAGAGCACGTGAAGTTTGGGGGACCCCAACAAAGGGTGCCCCGTTACACTCTATGTCAGTTAACCTTCCGTCCACTCTAAAAGGCTATCCAGACACACTTATAAAAGTGCGCCACAGCAGCGAAATAACGCGGAGCTAAGTTGAGTAAATTTTACTCTTTCGCAATCCTGCCTAAAATTCGCACTTGTGCGACAATCGATATAACTTCACTAGATTGCGTGTCATTGCCTCACAAATTTCAAGGTCATCCTTTTATTGGCTAAGATTGATTAGACGTCATTGGCCCAGATTGATAGAAATATTAATGTGATGTTAACGACAAACTTCGAATTGAAACATTGAAAAATATTAGTCTGCTTCGCAATCAATATGAACCAAAACCTTAGTTCAAGCGCCAGCAGTTCTCACTCTCCACTCAGTATTCTACGTAAAAAATTACCCTTTAATTTACTAATTGGACCAAGTCAATGCAGTTTAAGTCACAAAGCCAGTCGCCGAGTCCTACAGAGGCTCATTTCTCTCCGCCACCTCTCCGTCCACGCCAAGGAAACGTGCGAGAGTCTCCTACTACAAATTCGAAACCACGTCTTAAAACTAACATGTGCTAAACGGCTTTTTAGCCAACGGACTATCGAGGTACGTTGTCGGGTATGTGCGGCATGGGTTAATGTCTAGCAAGATGAGGTCTATGGCTCCGATCAATTTAGTGACACTCTCAAAAGATTGCTGACCAATCAAGGCCAAGAGGTGCAAAGGTGTCACAACGGGATGCAGAAGAACTGCTGCAATCAAACAGAAGTGGAGGAGTATCATCTAAGGCAGTTCTCAAGTTCTTTGGCTGCTATGCTGGAGCCCAGGCAGAAGCACCAAGAGGTACAAGCGAAGACGACGTTATCGTGGCCGCTAATCTTTTCCGTAAGGATATGAAGCGACCAGATAATACTCGGAAATGAGAATCTAATTGCGGCTTTTTTTTGGCGAGAATAAGCCAAACGCAGAGTTTCAACTTTGGAACCCTCCAAGTTCCTAAGTTCAAAGCACTATGCTTGGCTCGTAACGGCTCCGCGACTACCGATGTGATAGAGGGGGTAAGGTCTATTGGCAACAAACGCGCACGTCAAACTTTGTACTAATAAGTACAGCACAAGGAGATCACGGCGTATTTCGTGAGCAGCGATACAAAAGAATTACTCTCAACGAACAGCTTTGTCGACTGATCTCGAAGTCGCCCAACCTGACGTCGTCAACATCCCGCTATAAAAGAGTTCTTTGATTCGTCGTGACTGAGAATTAAATTTAGAGGCTAGCATTTTTTCGTAAGACTTAAACTAAGACGAGTAGACGATCTAGATATATAACTTGCTTCTTAAATTCTAAACGAAGTTTTATATTTTGAATGAAGTTGTGAAAATGAGATCGGCATCGTGATTAAAGCTGAAATAACGAAAATTCTGCGATCAGAAGCTCAATAATAGGGTAGACAACATGGTAAGCAATCAATACATGTTCAATATCAAGACCCTTGACACTTCACCTCCGTAAGGAAGCTTATACAATGAGATGGGTGTATCGACTAATATAAGAGGAACTAGCATACATCTAGAATGGCCGTATCAAATCTCTCGACGACAAATTGTGTCAGGTCGTCGAGCAGTTTCTGTTGCAGTCGATGATGACATAAATATGAACAATTCTGATTCGATGTTGACGGCGTCGTGACCAATTCTGAGTACATGCCATTAGTCTCCTGGAATATCTGCTGGCGAAAATTGGCCTCCATCGTGTCAAACTGCTTGGCCACTTCAGGGAGGTACCACACGGGATGAATAGCAACTTCAGTATTGACAAGCTGTGACAAATTCTTCAGTATCTTGCCATCAGGTTTCAGTCGACCAAGCCGCACGGCTTCGTGGATCTCTGGAAAATCCATGTTTGCTCTCGTCACAGCAATAGTTGGCCGGATGTCGTATCCCTTCTGGATATATTCCGGAAAAGCTTCGACGAAACAAGCGCCGAAGGGATCAATCGTGACCATCCACTCCGGGTCAAACTACGACGGGTGCGAGCCAATCTTGGCGGCCGGCGTAGTCTCCCGAAGGTCAGGGAACAAGTTGTTCGCAATCGCTCCCGACGCGACGGCCAGTCTAAATCATCTGCATGTTTTCGTCTCCAGTTTCATGTATGTGGTAATAAAAATTTGTTTGAAACCATAGTCGTTATAGTCATCATCGACGCTCTTTAGCGTATTGCTACCTCGTTATCACTAAATCTTTCTACGTTTATTCGATTGTATCGGACCTACATGTGTAGTTCATCTTCGATTTTCATGCATGGAGAATGATCACGCTTTCCATAACATCATGCAATAGTCGTCGCATTTCGTATGGAGCAGGATGCGCAATAATATACCTAAACTCATTTATAAACCCTTAGAAGCTCATTCAATGTTCCTTATAAAGCCTTCTTGAAGTCACGAAAATACATTTCTCTATCTGTGGCAAGTTTTGTCAAGGCCTTTATCAAATTGCGGTAGTTGGAACTTATACTATCAGTGACGTAAAATCCTTGTTGATACCCACAACCATTAAGTTTTGACATGAAAGAAACGTCTTTTCCATAATTAGGTTTAAAAATGAAGCAAGTACTAGTCAATTAATACATGATGCATACTTTTTCTTGAAGAACAAATGCTGCATGCCTCTTCTTGTCATGATCGGACTTAGATTGGCTATGTCAAGCCTTTGGACAACTTGTCCATTTTTACAACATACAGTCTAGGGTACCGGAAACCCTCTGTGATTACTTGCTATAAAAATCTTGTCAGTGGCCTCCTGTATTAGCCAGCGTAAATACTCATATCCAGACTATTTGATAACAGCATTACGAAACCAGTCCTCGCAACTTAAACGCAGTCAACTCCGCAAATCGGTAACTCTCATCGTAAGCAATACCGCTTTTCTAAATGCAATCATGCGAAGAGCGACAGTTTATTTATAAAAGACAGGGTAGCCTCAGCTCTCTTGCGCATTTTCATTTGGTAAAAAGTAACTCTCCGATCATGATATTGTACTTTACAACTCAGAGATTTAATTAAAGTTTTATCGCAGTCCACGACAGCGTCGTGCGTCGTGAATGTTCGATAAAATCACGACACGCGAAATCCGCGTCTAAAATATTCGGTACCAATGATAGTTGTCTTTCAGTATCGATGTCTAATGCCGATACGCGTTGTGCCTGTTCTACTTGATCTTTAATAATTTTTCATGTTCATACTCGCAATTAAAGTACATTTACGATGCGTTTGTTGTTTCTCACTTCGTTATATGAGTGACATGAATCGTTGCATCATATAGCAATAGCATTTATGGACTGCGCTGATGATCTCACCGGACGTCATGGTCCAACAAATATATATAGAATGACAATTGGATGAAAGTAATAAAATCAAGGCGAAATTTTTTTTTAAACGCGGCAATGAAAAATCGACTTACGGGAGCAGTTACATCAACTTCTATTAAGTTATTAGCGTTTAAGTTTGATCGTAAGTTATCAAACTCCTCATTGGCTTGCCAAAAGTTAAGTTATACTCACTGCTAAAGACTCTTTCACGATACCAATAGTATCCAGTTCAGACTAAAACAGCGTAACACGTTAGTCGCAGCTAAGGCTACGACGACCCGGGGACATTGGTTTGCACCATACCGTGACCCGGGACAAGCCGGTGTAAACACCGAGTCGACAGACACAAATTGGTCCGGGTCAAATCTCTAACCTCAGCTATCTCTCTTTCGAATTTTTTTTCTTTTGTCCTCGCGTACTCATGTAAACGTGGTCCACATCTACCGACATTGTGTTCTGAAGAAGATCTTAGCCCATATTGCTCACCATTCACACGCCATATGCTGATTTGTCTGGATTACTAAAAAGATGATTTTGACCACGGTCATGCGGATATTCACCGCGACATGGTGTACAGTTACTATGCTCGCGTATCAGCGCTTCATCACGTCAAAAAATATTCGCAAAGGGAAAAAGGCTGCAACCTAGATGCCGTAAAAAAACTTTTGTCGAATCTAGAGGTGACTTGGTCCCTTCGCATTTAAAGATGACATTAATTGCTACCAAAATTTAGGTCTGTAGCACATCGTAACAATGTAGCACGTGGTGTGGTAGTAGATACGACTGATAGAGAGCCGCATGCCGAGTAATGGCGAACACAGTTCGACAATTCTAAATTGTTTTTGAAGCCCGTACTGTATATTCCCAATGCAAAAAGCATTCGATTCTTTAAACTACGATATCTATGGAGGGGTGAGCATATATTTTTAACCAAGCCAGTACCTTTTGTGTAATTTCATAGCCTTTAAATCCTTTCATGTCCCGCGTCCTGTCCTTACAGTTTAATGTCATAAAAAGCGATAATAATTCTTGCAACATTACTCAAGTATCCCTATAAGCACCCGTAGAGATGCTGATGCGGTTCCATACTGTACAAGGTTTGTGCTCTCGATAAGCTACAATGGAACTGCCATATTTTAATTATAGAAAATGCCACTTACTTGCGACATCAATCTTAAACGTCCGAGGGGAACCAGTATCGCAACGGTTTTGCACAATGACATGACAAAAACTTCGGTAGACTACTTCTTTGTGCAACAAACCTGCAGTCGATAGATTCTGGAAGCAGCTCCTAAATTACTAAAATGAATGAAGGCAGATAGGATGGATTCATGGCAGTCGATTGGCTTTAACATGCTTCAATTTACAATATTAAATGAGCTGAAGCAAATTACGATCCTACAACGAGTACACCTACGAAAGCAGCACTACTATTCCACCGACATCAGCAAATGTATAAACATCAAAAACACTTGCAACAGTAGCACGGCAGCAGTAGCATGGTAACAGCAGCAGCTTATAAAAAACATTGGTATCGAAAACAAAAGCTGAACTAGTGCCTACAACAGCTACAGCAGCAGCGACGACAACATACATAGCATAGGTAATAAAAGCAACAATAACATATTAATAAAGGACTAAATAGACCAACACCAGTATCAATTGCAACTAAAAAAGGAACAGGACAAAATAAAGAACTAACTACGACGGCACCTGCAACAAAAACAGGAGCAACTGTACAACAAAAACCGATTATAATATTGTCATTTAAAAAAAATTACAGTGATGCCAATAATAACGTCAGCACGAATTGTATATTTGTGCATCGTCGGCCGACACAATGACGGCGCGTTTATGTCTTTCCTTTTTCTTCTGCACCGGCAACTGGTGGCTGCAGGTGCTGCGCGCCAACAGCAGAAAATCCCCACGTAGGAACCCCTTTGGGGTACGGGGTTGAGCGTGGTCGTAAAATGGTTTTTAAAATACAAAAAAAAATAGCCTCAGTTGATAGAAAATAATTAGAATGAAACCCTGGTATACTGGAACCCATGTGACGCGCAAATGTGGAATATGAGCACTTATGCGCACCAAATGGGCTTCAGTATACCAGGGTTCAATTCTTGATAATTTTGATCAAGAAAGGCATTTTTTTAGTTTCGTGATCAAACGGGACACTCAGTATTTTCCCTATTCTACATTATCTTCTCTTTGGTTTATTTCAATCTAATTACGTCGAAAATGACACGCTTGTCGCTGAATTTGTAATGAAGCAAGCGTGGCTTTTTTTAATCCAGTCACTTGTTACCGATACAGCGTTTCCATTCCAGCCATATTTCATGTTTACGCTTCCATTGCGGACTACGAGATAGACGCTAGGCAGCCTGTCGTGTATGACAATATTTTGCCGAAGAAAGGAAAACAGGCGATCCCGTCATCAAGCCAGTCTTTCGTCTAAAAATAATTTGACGTCCTCTTTCACATTCTAGTACCCAATTTGATCTCGCTTGCACGCTCGGACGGCTCTTATATTATTCGGAAGCCGAGCTTTGACGGTTTCGTGACCACGACACAAGACTCCGTTTAGTATTACAAAGCGCTTTTGCTCAATTTCAACAGCGTGGTGACGCTGCAACTACACCTACGAAATCGGAGACCTCTAAAGGTGACTTAACGAACGAAAAGTAAAAGCGTAGCATACGATATTAACGCACAGACTGTGCCGGCCACTCTATCAAACAGAACATATTACGTCGTGGCAGCCGTCGAGATGAACTAACGTCCTCGTTCCGGGCCGTAACTAAGACATACCTCTCATTGCACTTACACGACAAAAATACGCCACTACAAGGGTGGTCCAATCGAGAACTGTGTCTCTGTAAAGATTATCTGCATAAGGCGATCATTGTCTTCTTAGTCTTGCATGTAACAGGTTAGCCGTTACATGAAATTGAAACCAAACGGTGTCAATAGGAATATTGTCTAGCATGACAATATCCTACCGATATTATCCGAGATGGATGATATTAAAGGAATATTATCCGAGATAGATAATGTTCATTCGCCGCTCCAAGAATGGTCGATACAAGACATATCATCCATAGATTGCCACGAATCACTGCTAGACGCGCTCAATGAGTGGTGAGCAGGTTGTCATCATACGACGGCGTAGTTTAATATAGTTAGATAAACATCAAAGTTATATTGATAGCTTAACTATATAAAATACAGTCCTCTTTTAGCTTTACTTGACCGAGTCGTTCAAGTAGTTTAGCTTCCACTGCACGTACTAGTGTGGGTGAATTTTTGCGGCACCCCAAACAAAGGGTGCCCGTTACATTGCAGGTCTCACTCATGAGTTCAAGCAAAGCCGTTTCGATTGTAGGCTTTTTAAGTTGATGTTAGCAACACATGCCGTTCAGCGTAGCCATGATGATACGGCTGGTATCCCAATCGTCGACAGCACATACTCAACGTTCGTTGTAGAGATAGTCGAGATGTGCAGGCGTAGCGTTAAACAGCCCAATTTACTGCTAAACTACAGGTTTTAATGCTGATGCTCGAGCAGGCTCGCCGACGTTTTCACAGATAGATTGATGCAATCTGCTCATGCTCATTGGAGCTCTACGTAGTAGACCAGGATGTATCACTTCACGCGAAACTTCCACGATCACCATGCACCGATGTTTTGATTTAGAAGCGCAGCTTCCGCTTTTTACCACATTTGTTGAGGCGCAGACCGCCTGACGACACCCTGGATCGCTTGATTTACCCATCCAGGTTTTCATGATATGTTTGAGACGCCCCCTCTCCACGAAAAGACGCTACACGGAGTTTGGTTTACCAGCGATAGCTCCCACTGCACGACTACAATCACGGATTCGTGCGCTGAGTTTTAAGTTGATCATCGATGCGGCTTTCGAGACGATTTCTACTGACAGGGAGTCAAAAACAGATTCCTGAACCACGGAAACAGAACTTGCGCATATAAAATCGGCTCCGTTAAGGCATCCCTTATTTTGTGAAAAAGATGTAACAAACCTTGTGAGCCACCCACGCGGCCCCTTATCCTTTTCCTCGAGCAGATACCACGCAAGTGCAGGTTTGAAATATCTTGGCGCAAATGAACTAGTCTCGTATCTTGCACCTTGCACACCAAATTTAAGCAGCTCAGTGGCCTGCCAGTATAAAAATGGATGTTGTCAAAAACCAAAACAGACCAAAAACAAACATCTTCGGAACAGTTCATAGGCTACAACGGTCAATTCAGTATAATACGTGCAAATCAATGCAGTCGCATAGTATAGGCGTAGAAGAATGCAAAACTGTGATAAGTATCCAGTAAAGGGACATTAGGCTGGACGATAGACTGTTAAGTCTAACGGTATAGTCTATGTAGCGTCTTTCGATCTACGCCTGAATTTTTCATGCTCAAAAGATAATCAACCAGAAAAGCCGACCCCAAAAGGATCTACACTAGATCGTCTCGATTTTCACCGTATAAATTGACCTGGAAATCTTCCCATCATCAGGCTACGCCCGATTAATTAAAAATAAGGGCTGTTACAGGACTAAACCCGGACAAGAGACTTTATTCTTGTAGCAATACGAAAAGGTCTGAGAGGTCCTAAGGGTGGTACGCACTAAGAACTATTGTGCAGTCGAGGTACGGCAAAATGTACTTACCACAGCGTGCGTGTGTCATAAAAATTGATAATACAATATCGACAGCATCAAAGCGCTATTAAATACTCCTGGCATGCTGTAGAGACCGCGTCTTATCGGAGCGCGTGTCTACTCTTTTGCATCTTTGCCTATAGTCATCTTAAATTTCTGACTAATTTATAAAATTAGAAGATCTTACATTTTGTACCTATTAAAAGTGCACGCGAGAAGTCATGGATTGCTCCAACGACACATAAAGAGATCTACGTATTTAATATAGTAGTATGACTTTGTAATCAGTTTGTACTAACCTTATCCTCACCGCACACAAGACTAAATGATACACCGCTTCGTTTCAGTGCGAAATTTGTGTGACAACTCATAAGCGCTCGCCGGCAGCGGCGCAAACGATGTCGGGACTACAACAACATCTTGCCGTAGAAGTGTGACTCATTTCTGGTCTACTATATCCGACCACGTAGACGCGTTGTGAAACGTAGACCGTGTCTAGCGCTTTCAAATCTACTTAAGCGTCAACACAGAACAAACAAAGACTACGGTTTTTCAATAAGCGTGTCTTAGATTGTCTTTCGTGTTACAAAAACTCATTTGAGTTTGCTAATTATTTTCCATTTTACTCCGTCGTTCAGATTTGTGATCTGTTTCTTTCGAGTTGTGAAGCACATTGTGATTCTTTTACAATAAATCAGAAAGTCCGCACCATTACTCAATACATTGTGTGGCAATTAAATTACTAAGCTGATGCTCTTATAACGTAATGGAATCTTTTCAACCAGAAATTGATCAATTAATAGGTCGCTTTATGTCCGACTGTTGAAACAGTGCGACTAATGATGTGAAAGGGCGCGACTGTTGATGGGACAGGACATAAGTGATGGTGTAACGACGCAACCATTGGGATGGGAAAGGTGATTTGGAGAAACCTACGCAGGAGAGATTGAAGGTAACGGATATTGAAGGTAACTGACAGTGATGATAACGGACAGCATAGGTAACCAAAGACGTAAGCTCAAATACGTTTAGTTCTCAATTTACTTCCTATCTCTAAGCCCGCTTCAACAGGTTATGAGCCCAAGCGCGAACAACTCACCTCTTCGTCAGCACGCCCTGGCACGCTTTGCCGCTGATACGGGTCTAATTACTCTCAACGTGGTCACTGATCCTTTCGTGCTGCGCGAAGAGACGCCATCAGCCCCGGGCACTCCCGAGGCCCAAGATAGCGCGAGTTGTGTCTCTGACGCGAGCTCTGAGCGAATGGATAGACTTGACGGACTCCTCGCAGGGATGGCGCAGCAGCAAGCCCAGTTCATGAAAACCCAGCTGAAGATGCAAGATCAGATGAGCCGAAACTCTCAAGCTGCGCCTACGACACCCTACGAGCAACCACTTAACGGATCAAGCGCGTTTACCGACTTTATCCAAGCGCGTGACCGTCGAATGAGGATGGGCTCACTCGATGAGCCCATGCGTCAAGCACGCATGCCGCCGCCTCACCAGCCGCCGCAACGAATGCGCGTGCCGCCGAATCAGCCGCCTCAGCAAGACGAGCGGTATCGGTCATCTGAACCGTCGCACCCTTTTGTGACACCAGATGATAATGGGTTGAAGATAACGAAACCCAGAGACCTGGACTGGTATGGATTTGCTAAGTTCACGGGTAAAGAGACATATCCAGGTGTGGGCGCCGACTTTAAAGCATGGGGAATACGCTTCCAGCAACGGCTGGGCGCAGCACAGACGATAAGCGGGGGTGATTGGCCAGAAGACTTCAAGATTCTTGCATTGAGCGGTAAGCTGGAAGGTTCAGCTCTCAGCTACTACGAGAAGATGCTACCGGTATGGTGCGCTGTGTCGAACACACTAGAGCACGTCATGAACAGCATGCTGATGCTGTACATGACTACGATACCATCTACGAAAGGAATTGATCTCATGACGAGAGAAAAAGAGCACAGAAAGACATGGCCTGAGCATTACCAGTACTTGGTGTACGTGGCGGAGGGATCTGGAAACTCGTAACAGAGTGTTTTAGAATGTCTATGCAAGTCAGCGCCTGGACACATTAAGACTGCAATGCTGACAAGGCTGAATGCGCAGAGAACGGACTATCTAGTGCAAGCCGCTGAGCTCGTTGAATTTGCGATAGACTTCGACATCAACATGGGGAAGACGAGGGTCGAAGGGTTAAGCAGCCAAGCGGGACGAACAATTCGCGATCAAGCAGTTCAATATCCTAACAGTGCTCGAAGAGATCAAGTCGGCCGTGGAGGAAGATATGTTGCAAGGGTTTCAAGTACCGACACACGTACAAGTTACGGATGCGGTGAGGCTGGTCACATCAAATCCAAGTGCTCCAAGCAACGAAGTGGTAAAAAGGCGACTTCAAATCGAGTCGCATTAGCTATTGGGACTGGAACAAAAGCTGACTCTGACTCGTGGATATTGGACAGCGGGTCGAGCGTGCACCTTGTAAAAGATGTGAAAATGCTCAAGAATGCAATTGATTGCGATTAATCGTGCCGCGCGGCGAACAACACAATGGTTCGAGTGACTAAGAAGGGAACAGCTGAGCTGAGGACGGCTGTCAATGGCAAGGAGGTTGTAGTTGACCTAAGCGAGGTTTATTATGCTGAGAACCTCGCTGATAACATCATTAGCTATGGCATATTGGAAGAGCGTGGTGTGTTTCTCGAACGAGACGGCAATCAGAGCTATGTGGTACGTCAAGAGGATGGCCTGAAGATATTCGAGGTGTTCCGTCGCAATAACGTGTTAACAGTCGACGTAATGGGTAAGAAAACAAAGGAAGCGCGAGTTCAAGTTGTCAACTCAGCCTTGCTACAAGGTTACGATGGAATTGATGAAGCTGTATTGAGTACAACTCTTGTGGAGTTGCATCAGAGGCTTGGTCATCTTGGGTACGATATTGTCGAGCGCATGGCCGACTCTAAAGGATTGGGCATTCACCTAACGGACCGAACCAGGCCAAATTGTCTTACTTGTGCAGAAGGCAAGCAGAGCAAACACAACCAGTCCAAGAAGGATGCAGGCAAAAACGCGCCTATTGACAAGCTTAGTGGTGTGATCGTCAGTGATATCAAAGGGACCAATGAAACACTAGATCGACGCGGTGATCGTTACCTAATCAACTTCGTCGACTACTCAACAAATTATGTCCGCGTGTTCCTGGCCAAGAACAAGATTGAGGCAACAAAAAACTTCAAATATTTTCTACTTTATTTCGAGAAGAGATTTAATGGTCGACTTCATGTGCTACGAACGGACGGTGGCAAGGAGTATGTCAATGTCGAAATGTTCTGCAAGTCAGCTGGTGTAAGGCGATAAGTGAGTGAGGCTTAAAAAATTTCAGGCATCGAACGGAAAGGCTGAAAGGATGCACAGGACGATACTCAACATGGCAAGATGCATGCTACTTGCAAGCGGGCTACCTTTATTCTTTTGTGGGGATGCCGTTGAGTACGCTGCCTATGTTTTGAATCGAAGCTCGTGTAGCGCTAACCCCAAGCGTCTATCGCCGCTAGAAATGTTGACTGGAATAATTCCGAGCATGGCGGACACTGTAACATTTGGGAGCTCTTGCTCAACGTTCAGGGATCCTGAGAAGAAAGCATGGAAGTCACGATCTCAAGTTGGAATGATTATTGGCAAGAATGATAAAACTAAGGGCTTCAAAGTCTACCTGCCGAAGGAGAAAATTGTGATCATTACTCAGCATATTCGTAACGTCGAAACGCTAAATAGCGCACAGAACGCTCAGCTACAAAAACGGATTGAACACGAAGATTTCATGCTGCGGCGCGCCGGGATGGATCGTGACGAAACCCCGACACGGGAGGAGCCTGCAAATTTAAAAAAGAGTGGTTTGGAGGCAGACGAAGATTTGGTGTCAAGTAACAACTCTATACCGAATGAAAGAGATGGAGGTGAGGCCGAGCAGTTACCAGAGGATGGGCGGACGCAAGCTCGGTTGCAGACACGCAACATGTATACAAAGCACGTGCCGGTATATAGTGTGAAAGCTATCACGCTTAAAGACCCCAAGAACTATCACGAGGCGATGAAGGACCCTCTAGTCAAGCCCTGGAAGGAGGCAATGCGCATAGAGTTTGACGCGTTGGAGCAGAATCACACGTGGGAAGTGATACGAAAGCCACACGAAGCAAAGCTACTTCATAGTAAGTGGTTTTACAAGCTCAAGATGCACGCTGACGGCACGATCGAAAGATACAAGGCGAGGCTGGTGGCGCGAGGAGATGAACAAGTTTATGGTATCGATTACAACTACACGTTCTCGGCCGTTATGGAAATGGTTTCTGGCAAAGTGATCCTTGCAGTTTCAAGAATCTGGGGAGTACCTGCGCACACGGCGATGTGCCGAGTGCTTATGTCAAAGCCGACAAAGAAGAAGGCTTGAAGATGCTTCTCCATATTCCGAAAGGTATGGATATTAAGGCCAAGTTGTTGGACAAGTTCGGAGTGCAGGATAAAGGACATCTTGCACTGAAGCTAAAAAAGGGTCTGTATGGACTTATACAGTCTGGAAGATTGTGGAACTCGATGCTCCACAACATACTCATGTCCCTGGGTTTCTGTCAGTGCTATACAGACAGTTGTCTATGCATTTAAGATGATAGTGACGGCAAAACGCTCGTTGTAATCTACGTGGATGATGTGCTGGCGACCGCAACCAGTTCTCAGAAGGTCAGCGATTTCTTTGATGACATGCAAGTGGTTGAAATTAAGAACTTGGGGTGGTGTCCAAATTCCTTGGTATATTGTTTCGTTACGATGACGATAATGGGCGGAAACTGAACCAAGAGCCTGCTATTGATGAGATGCTCGAGAAGTTCGGATTAGTCGAGTCGGCAGCGGTCAGGGTGCCAATCGGCGGATTCTACAAAGACGAAGAAGATGCGCTGCTACCTTCTGATGGAAAAAGATCACCAAAAAGACCAACTGTGCAGACTTTCCAGTCGCTAGTCGGTAGTCTGTTATGGACATCTCGATGCACACGCCCCGACATAGCGTTTGCGGTGCACCGAGTGACTCGTCGCTCGCACGCACCGAGTGAAGGCGATTGGCGCCTAGCAAAGAAGATCGCAAAATATCTCAAGAGCACCAAGAAACTGAAATTCATGATGGAGGGAGACAAGAACTTAATGAAAGATGACGGCGTGGTAGTCGAAGCATTCAGCGATGCCGACTACCCTGCAGACAAATGTGACCGGAAGTCGATTTAGCCCACCATGTATTCATGGTGGGCGGCATGATTGTAGGCTGGATGTGAAAGAAACAGAAATGTGTTGCATTTTCAACGATGGAAGCCGAGTATGTGGCGGCTTCGCAAACATCAACTGAGATGATAGGCATCGTGGAATTGCTCAAAGAGATCGGCGTGCAGATGCAGTCATATACGACTTTTGACGTGGATTACCAAGCTGCCATCGCTCAAATCAAGGGCGAAGACACATCTGGGCGAGCGAAGCACATCGACGTGCGATACAAGTTTGTGAAAGATCTTGCAAAAAACGATTTGCTGACCGTGCAGTATTGTGAGTCAAAGAAAATGCGTGCGGACATCCTGACCAAGACACTCCCATCACACCGACTTAGCGAGCTACGTGGAATGATGATGCTCAGTGGTTAAGCATGCTTACACGGGAAGGAGTGTTGAAACAGTGCGACTAATGATGTGACAGGGCGCGACTGTTGATGGGACAGGACATAAGTGATGGTGTAACGACGCAACCATTGGGATGGGAAAGGTGATTTGGAGAAACCTACGCAGGAGAGATTGAAGGTAACGGACATTGAAGGTAACTGACAGTGAAGGTAACGGACAGCATATGTAACCAAAGACGTAAGCTCAAATACGTTTAGTTCTCAATTTACTTCCTATCTCTAAGCCCGCTCCAACACCGACCAATCACCTATGCGGAATAGCTTTTGACTTAGTAAATGGTGATTTGACTGACGAATAGCTTAGTTCGTCGATCTCAGCCATTCCTCTGTATCATCTCCGCTTTGTTTGGTCTTTATTTAATAGCTCAGCAAATACCACACTTGTAGCTAAAAATGTAAATATGCAAAGTAGCTTAAATATTTTGTCACTCGTGCCCAATCCCATCAAAGTCTCTCTAGCCATGTCTTGTTTATATGCTTTCGACATGGACTACGACCAGCTCTTAAACCTTTTTAAATGATTGACGCCGACGGGCTACATCGTTGTTAAGATACAGAGCTATCGAAGCGAGACGCGGAGTAGGACTGTGAGCGTTAAAGCTGAGCGACACGCCTCAGGCGGCATGGTCAGGTCTTTTACGCACAACCTTGCCATTATTGTTACGCGCAGGTCGCGCTCCAATCGGTCCATAATGGTGCCATACGTCAAATATTCAACGCGAGTTTCATTAACACAAAAGCCAGCTTACCTCTTATTAAGACACCTGCCGGAAAAATTAAATGCAATGATTTTCACAGATACATGGCTAAAAGAAGCGGCCCAGCAGCTTTCTCCAGGTCTGGGAGCATGATAATATGCTCTACGAGCATCAAGCTGGACGTCGTTTAGAATATTCACCAAGCAACTCAATTTTTTATCATGCGGTGCGTCCCGTGGAAGATAGACCGTGCATTACAGGATTTTCATGGTGTGCTTTACATGAGAGCAAACGATTTTTAAGATTGCTTAAGGACGCGTGCGTGCTGGGGCAAATTTATTATACATTGTACTGTAGCTTTCGCTACGGTCCATGTCATTTCGAGGTGCTTTGGCAACTGTGTGGGACTCTGGACATTTTGGGGCTTGGGCAGTCTCCGCAGCTCGAGATGTTTCGCGATGATGTTGGGGCGGTATAACAGGTGTGGTGATGAATTTTGTTTTAGAAGAATCTCACCTGCATGATGCACTCACGGTGTGAGCAAAATGATGCTATTTTCGAATGACGCAGTTTACGAAGTCGGACGGTGTCTCCTGCTGTTAAACTGCTACTGTGCAGCAATGATGCGCCTTGGCTATGCGAGAGCATAGAGGCGTAGAAATAGTGGGAGGAGGGGATCAGTTACAGGTCTTGCTCTTGTCTTTCACACTAAAGTGTAATGATGAACACTTTATGACACAAGGTGCCGCGGATCGCCGCCGCGTCTGGCATTGCGTTTAGGGATCAGACAAATTTCCGATTTGTAGCGCGTGAAAATTAATCGATAATCATATAATCTATAGCTCTCTTTTTATCTTTCAATCGATGATCTACTAGCAAGAAGCAGACCTACCAGATGAGCTGCACCACATAGTCAAAGAAAAAAAAACGATTTTTATTTTTGGAAACAACGTTGTTTGGTTAATGATGAGCTCCACCCTTTTGTGTAAAGATCCACCTATGAATTGGTATTACAAACAAGTGTTCTTTTACCGTTTATAGACTGGGGAATGCAAAAGTTAGTTTTGTTGTGGTTTAGTCAATACAATTTAAATTAACGCCTTGTCAGATTTTATTAGTTTTAACTAAACCACAACAAAATTAACTTTTGCATGAACGTCCACATCTACTATAGACTACAACTGAAACGAAATGAACGGCTCCTTATCGCCGGCCGGGAAAGATTTCTTGACTTACGACCCACGGCGCCGCGTCGCGACTAAGTTCTCGCCGCAAGTATTTTTATCTTTTTAATTTCTAATGGTTGACCCCACGACACGTCGCGGCAACAACTCACAATTTTTGGCGATCTTTTAGACTGTATATAGGATGCAATGTTTTGTAAATTAGATGTAGGTGAATTACCAATTTGCTTATCTTCATTCGACTTTGTCCATTCATATTGCATTTCACTCAGTCATCTAGGACTAACTTATTATTTTTGCAAGTTGCGAAGCAAAAATGATACTTATATGTTAATCACTATATTAGTCGCAGTTTTAAATAAAGGGGTGTGTCACTTTCAAGTTACAGAGTTGCTGCTTATGAGATCTGATAGATGCTGAAAACAAAGGATGAGTATGCTATTTGGCCCACATTTAGATATGCCAGATGGTTTGCTGCAGAATTCTGGATATGGATGAATTTAGATATATCAACTTTTCTCGGTATGCGATAATGAATACAAAAAGGGAGCGAATGATGAGCCTTCACTTTTTGATAATGACACTTCACTCCATAAAGTGCAAATAATTATTCAGATAAGAAGGCCTATCGATGGTCAAAAGTTATTGTTGCACTTCTTAAAAGCACTATTAAGTTATCTCAATTCATCTACTATATCGTATCTACAGTCATGTGACAACGTAGCGTGACGAGAGCTTCCATGCGGCTATTAAAAATAGCTATTGAATCCAAAGGCAAGCAGCATTGTGTTTACCTTGAAGATTTTGCTTGATTGGATACTTTCTAATTATTTTTGCCCTTAGGTGATCGATGAAAGGTAAACGCAGCTCTGAACTTGACTTGACATAAACAAATGAATACTGGCATCCACCAGAACGCAAGGGGACGTGTTATAGGCGATGTGCATCTAAAATATATAATTGTCGAAAGTGTAGAGTAAGATTACCGCTTCAGTTTTACTGGAAACACATCGTTAATATCTTAAGTGATTCAAGCCAGTTGTCAAAATCTGATGACAGGGATTGGTTCACCCTTGTAGTCGTTCATTTATCACATTGTAAAGGCCGCTGATAGTAGAAGGTTTTGAATAGCATCATTGTTTGGCCTATTAATTAATGGGAGGACTGATACCTAGCAAATCCAATTTAGTTCTGTCGATTATATCATTGTGCCAGAAGTACTTTCTAAAAGTAATGTCAATGCTACATACATCGTCAAAAATACTATACTTTATTTATTAAGTATAGTATTTTTGACGAATAATTTATAATGCTGCCATCCGTGATCATGTACAGGTACATACGAGCGGGAGATCAGAAAAGGTGTCATTCCCGATTTGTCTCAATTTGAGAATATAAAATGAGACTGAATCTTTAGAGAGGTCGACTAAGCGGACGATGTGGACAGCATATACACCCCACAAGGACATGTCGCTCAGTAGCACAGGAAGAATAAGTGCATGTAGCACCTTTAGAAGTGCGACGGATTGACGATACCACACTAATCGATTCTGAATTGATTTTGGTGATAATGCTCCTAAGGTCGAAGTGAGATGTAGATTTAAATAATCATCGTCAAACTACAGGTAAATCTTACTGCGATGATTTCACCAAAATTAAATTTCGTCAACAACCCATTAAATATCGTTCAATGTCATTTCTACTATTTCTTGAAGCTTTCCACGACAGGCTGTTTAGAATGTGGGTGTACTTTAGCACCCAAGCGCAATAAGAGGGTAAGAATTATAAGATATGTAGCTTCTATCTATTATTCAGAGTCTATTAAATTTAAACAATTTTTTTATGTGTAGGATGATGGCTTATTGGCGAAAACTGTTGGCTCGTTATGTACTGCTTGATTTAATCGGGACCAGCACTTTTTTATAAATTGGGTTTGAAATAAGTTAAAAAAACTGTTGCTTAAGTAACGAAATTTATAATGCAAGTGATACGTCTAGCTCCTTAGTTCGCACATCTTTTGCTAACCAAAGCCTATCGATTTTTTTACTTCACGTTGCCAACCTCTGCATTGCGCATTGCAAATTTGTAGTATTGCATTACTCATCGACACGTCACGCTTACTAACCGTATCGTCTTACTATGTTAATTCTAAATGTGTGTGGAAACAAAAAAAAACACGTACCTTAAGTGAGGGACTACAATGACTGGCAGACACGTGATAATAAGCTTAAGATACTAAGACCAGACGGCTAGACGTTACTGCTTGTAAGTCTCTACTGGCATAAAACTAGTAACAATTGGGTGGTACGGCACTACCAAACTGGCTATGCTATACGTAATCGTCCGAATAAGCATGTCGAGGCATTTATGACATTATGAAAATTATACGGGTAGATTTTGTACATAGCTCGACTACATAAACATTGGCTATTTTAAGCGCATTCTTATTAGAAAGAGACCATTCTCTTACGATAATTTAAATATGCTATTTGTTACTTCTTAAAGTAATAGAGGAGTTAATAGATCGAAAGCGACGGCTGATCGTCAAGAAGGGACGATTGGCTGTTAAGCTGTGCAATAATATGATCATGTGTCAAGGTAACAAGATCAGTAGTCAAGAATCCAGATTCGAGAATATGTAGGGTGATCAATGCTAAGAATGCAATTGGATATCAAACAGATTGACGATCGATCGAGGTGATCGATGATCGGTCAGACATCGAAGATTGATCAGTCGAACAGTCGTCGGTCAGACACAGACGATGGATCGGGGTGGCCGTTGATCGGTCAGACATCGACGATCGATCAGGGATATCGACGATCGATCAAGGGAAAGATGTATAAAGACGATCGACGACCAGGGAGATCGACGATAAATCAGGAGTGGACCATGTATGCGAAAGAACGATCAACCGAATGCAGAAGACACATAGACGTACGCACCGGTATAGAGACAGGCACAAGGGTAGCTTTAGATTCTGGTTGTTAACAACCAAACAAAATTTATTCGCTTTTAAGTACGCGTGACGACTTCTCTTCCGGGCTGGAATATTGGCCTGTCGGCGTCGAGAACGTTGCGCACA